ACCACATGCTGACCCCCAGACCTCGGTGACAGGCAGCACCCCTAGGACAGCCTGTCCTGGGCAGCAGAGGACCTGCCTGCTGACCCGGACCCGCGCTTCTGCGCCTGGGCTGCTCTGATTAGGGGATTGCACCTGCTGCCCCTCACTTGCCTTCTGCAACACTGCTCTGAGCCCCCATCCAGCTGGCTGCTGCCCACGCCTTCCGGGCTGGCTTGCTTGCGACCTTCTCTGGGACCTGGGTTGCGTACACCTTGCCACACATTGCTTACAACCCATGTGACAATCTCCTGTTCATTGGGCACTATTGTCCACTGTCCCGTCTACAGCGCCTTGAGTATTGACATGGTGGTGTTCTGCCTGTCTTCTTCTTCTTTTTTTTTGTTTTTGTTTTTGTTTTTGTTTTTGGTTTTTCGTTTTTGGTTTTGTGAGACAGGGTGTCTCTATGCAGTTCAGGTTGACCTCAAACTTGTGGCTCTCCTGCCTCGGCCTTTCAAGTGCTGGGATTGCAGGCATGTACTACCACACCTGGCCATTTTCTAAATCTTGTTATGTTTGTTTTTAATTAATTGCTATATTGGAATTGAACCCAGGGCCTTTGCATTGAGTTACATCCCAGCACCCTCCTCCCTTTATTTTGAGTGAGGGTGTGCTAAGTTCCTAAGTTCCCCAGCCTGGTGTTGAACTCATGATCCTCCTGCCTCAGCCTCTCAGAGTGTTCAGATTGCGGGCATGGGCCACCACACTCAGCCATGTCGTGTTTGTCTTTATATCCCTATTACCAAGCAAGTGTCTGGCGCATAGTCACTGCCTAAACATTTGTAGAATGGAGAATGCTGAACCCCTGTCTGTCTGTTTCTGTCTCTCTGTCTCTGTCTTGCTCTCTGTCTCCCTCTCTCTGTTTGGGAATGGAAACCCTCACATGCTAAGTGCACACATTACTCCCCTGAGCTATGTGCTCAGCCCTTCCTCTTGATTTTTTTTTTCTGTTAAATGAGATTAGGTTTGCAGATCTCTAAGGAGGTGTCCAGTAATAGGATTGATTGATTAACTGATTAATTGATTTTCAGTACTGGTAATCAAGCTCAGGACCTTGGGCTTGCAAGGCAGGCACAGTGCCACTGAGCTAATTCCCTGGCCCAGTGTAGGATTTATTACTCTAGATTTTTCTACTGGTGAGAGGAACCTTGTTTGGCTGGTATTTTTAGTTACCAGAAAAAATGCATAATATTAAAATAAACATGCATATATTATGCTAATGATATATTACTAAGAATCACCTATATTATTTCTGGATTGTTGTTTTTTTTTTGTACTGGGGATTGAACTCAGGACCTTGTGCTTGAGAGGCAGGTGGTAGAACCACTGAGCTAAATCCCCAGCCCATCACCTGTATTATTTCAATAAATTTCATGCAAAAATAGGATTACCTCAAATGATGTTTTGTTAGCCTGCTTTCTCGCCTTACTGTGCACTGTGACATAATTTTCATATGATGGCCAGAGTTCCTCACATGATGATGCCAAGAAGTCACTCGTCCACAGACACTGGTGCATTTGTTTTTTTTTGCTGCTGAAGCCCCCCAGCTCCTTTCTTCCCTTGGGAACCTCTGCGTAGGGAAGGCTCCCGCAGAGGCTGGGTGTCAGCAGGGGTACCTGCATTTCACAATCAGCAGTGCCACTCTGCTGCCCACAGAAGACATAAAGACAGCATGTCATACTCAAGATGATACTTTGTGAATTCCGGGAGGGTTGCACATGTCTGCCTCTGAACTGGGAAGGTGTCGTCAGACCAAAGACTGACTCAGATAAGTTCAGCTTGGTCAATAAATGAGTTATTCAGAGCTGCCTCGTGTCTAATGAATTTATTCAGAGTGGTGGATGGTTTACAGGAACTTGTGCTCCCAGAGTCGCCACCCTCTACTTCCCAGGCTTGAACGTGCAGTGCTCTGAGACACAAAGCAAGAGCCAGCAACGGGGAGGAGTGATGCATTTGTGTGTGCCCCGCTGCTCTCCTAACAGTGATGGGCGGCTTGGCCGCATGTGGCAGCCTGGTGAGGCCCCCACAGTGTGGTGCCACTCTGGCTGGTACTTGGGGGACCAGTCCCCCTGCAGATGAGGATGCCACAGAGCCGAGATTCGATGTTTATCTGGACCAAGGTGACTCGGACAGAGGCATCTTGTTTCACTTCCTTTAAACTCCTGTGCCCCCTCGGTGCACAGCAATGTCAGGCCCCACCTTGCCTCTCCATCCTGCCTTCCAGCTCAGAAGCTTCTGGATTCCCTGAGACAGTGACTCTGCATAGCCCTTAGGGTGTCCACACCTGATTTGGGTAGGGTTTGTTTGTTTGGTGTGGGTGGGGGGAGAGATTGAGAGAGAGGAGAGAGAGAGAGAGAGAGAGAGAGAGAGAGAGAGACAGGGTGTCACTATGTAGCTGAGTCTGGCCTGGAACTCCTGGTGATCCTCCTGCCTCAGCCTTCTGAGTGCTGGTATTACAAGCATGCACTACCATGCTCTGCTTCTTATTTGGATGGTTTAACTCCTGGAATTAGGTGTGTCTTGCTGTCTTTCTGCCACACAGTCCCCAGATCCACAGGCCCCTGGGTTTACTCCAGGCTGATTTTACTGGGTTGTAACAGGTGTGTCTAGTAATCTGCTGGAATGTCACCAAATTATCATCATCACAAGCAGAAAAAAAATAGACTTCTTCCTGGCTGACCATACAAGTCCTGGAGGCTGGGGGTAGGGCACACCTGTAGTCCCAGCACATGGGAGGCTGAGGCAGGAGCATTGCCAGGAGTTCCAGGCCAGCCTGGGCTACATAGTGAGTTCAAGGCCAATCTATATTACGTATCAAGACCTTGCTTCAAAAACATAAATAAGTCAGGTGTGGTGGCGTACACCTGTAATCCCAGCACTTGGGGGCTGAGGCAGGAGGATCACTGTGAGTTCGAGACCAGCCTGGACTACATAGTGAGTTCCAGGTCAGGCTCAACTACATAGTGAGACCCTGTCTCAAAAACAACAACAACAACAAAAAAATAAATAAATAAATGGGGCCGGGAATTTAGTTCAGTGGTTTTGTCACCTGCCTGGTAAGTGAAAGGTCCCCAGTTCCACCCCTGGTACCAAAAACAAACAAACAAACAAAAAATAAAGATGGAGGAGGAAAATGCCGGATTTCAAGCAGGCCCGTTCTGCCTCCTGCAGGGCTTCTTAGGGATCTATGAGATGGTTTTGGTCGTCAAAATGAGGAGTTGGCAGAAAAGGAAAGAGAGCAACAGTTCCCTGGTTATCCTCTTGCTGCTGTTCATTCTACAGTGTTTGGCTGTCCTGCTGGACTCTGATAAAAGTTAAACATCCATTAAAGACAGCCTGACCCTGGGCTCGACCCCATCCCAAGCCATGGGAGAGGAATTACTGCTATGGCAGTGATAAAGCCTGTCATGTACCAAGAACACCGTATTCTTGATTTTCCGCACCTAGATTTGCCTCATGTTCTAACTTTGTTTGAACTGAGGTTATTTTCTCTTCCCCTTATCATTTGGCTCCTTATTACCCCAACTCTGATTTGATTCAAGTGACCTGCTCCCTTCCCTTGTGTCCTGGGTGTTAATTTACAAGTCTGGAAAGCAAAAGCTAACTGTAGTTCTGTTTAGTCTAGGGAGGGTCAGGAGCAGAAGTGAAGCTTCTTTTAAACCAGGGTGATGTGAGGGCCGCTAGGGGGCGGGAGCGTGGACTGCAGGGACCTGGAGCTGGAGCAGCGAGGGCAGGGGCAGAGGAGAGAAGGTGGGCCAGGAAGGCCGGGTCTCTCTGGAACCAGGGTGCTCTTTTTTTCAAACATGGAATGTTTTGTCTGACTACCTGCCTGCCTCGGATGACAGGGCCGATAAAGTCTTCTTTATCGCTTCTCAGAACCAGGTGACTTACCAGGCAGATCCTTCGGCCAAAGAACGGAATATTCCATTCCACGTTTCCTTTTATTTATTTATTGGGGGGGGTACCAGGGATTGAGCTCTCGTGGCCCTCCACATGTTTCTTCTTTGAGCCTAAAACTTACACTGATTCCTATGAAATTCACACTTAGGGCTTTTCCTATTGCTGTGTGCATCTGTAGTCACAGCTCCTGGAGAGGCTGAGGCAGGAGGATCACTTGAGCCCAGAAGTTCAAGGCAGGCCTGGGCAAAAGAGACTGACTCCCCACCAGAAAAGTTTTTCAAAATTTTTAAAATTCATCCTCAAATTCAAACTAATTCATATTAAATAGGTGCAAATATCTGATAACCTTATTATGTCTTCTACCTAAATATATTGTTATATATTGGACTTCTTTCTGCCTCCTTTCTACCCCAGCAAGGGCCTGTGTTTCAGAGGCTATGCAACTTACCCCTAGATCCTGCTTGCACTGCACTGGATGCTGCCGTCAGGGCCTTTCTGATGCTTCCTTCTGATCCTCTCACCAGCTCGGGAGGCAGATAGGGTTACTGTGCACTTCACCTCATGGAGGAAGGACCTAAAGTGCGGAGGAGTAAAGTGGCATGTCCCAGGTAGCACTAGACAGTGCGGTCAGGGGCTTGAATCAGGTGTGTAGCTCCTGACCTGCACTCTCAGCTGCCCTGGAGACTCCCTCTCACACGAGGGAGGTTTCCTAGGGACTGCAACACAGGAAATCAGAGGGGCTTTCCATAAAGCTGGGGGGCACCAGGTGAGGGTGGGAACCACTGCCTTGTGTGAGGTGCTGGTGCCCGCCCCTACTCCATTCCCACCACCCTGTCTTAGTCCGAGCCAGATCCAGGCATGGGGCAGGGGCAGCCATGTGGCCAGGCCAGGAGGCACAGGTGGCAGAGGACAGAGGACAGAGAAGGAAGCTTAACCCAGGTAAGGCCTTCAGATCCCTGCTGGCCAAAAGCCCAAGGACTGTTTCTGCCCTGTCCTGCCCCTTCCCTCCTCCCCCTAGGGCGGGAGTCTCCTCTGGAAAAACACATTGCATCAGACAGCGCCTGAGGCCAGGGCTGAGACACAGCCTTATAGGTGGAGCAAGCAGACTGGAAAGGAGGCCAGATACAAGCAAAGCTTTAGGAGAAGGTGAGAGAGACAGTGAGTGCGCCAGGCCCAATGGCTACCTTGTCACCAGTGGCCGGCCCCTCTCAGGATCCCCTGGACCCAGAGGAGGAGGAAGCCAGCCTGGACGAGTACGACCAGTACAGCCTGGCCCATGCCTACATGGGTAAGCCCACCTCCTCCTCCCTGTTCCTTCTACTTCCAAGCCTCACTGACCAGGACCCCCTTTGACGTCTTTCCACACTGCACCTCCTCCCTCCAGCCTGTTCTGTTCCCTCTGTGCCTCGGTCACCCCCACCCTGTCCCTGACTCCGTGGACCGGAAACAGCTGGAAAGGACTGTAACTGTCCCTGCTGCTGCCACACCTGCACCCCTAACCACCTGCTTCTCTGTCCCCCCCTCTGTCTCCTACCCTGGGCCCCAGCCGGTGGAGGCAGGAAAGGTCGCACCAAGAGAGAAGCTGCTGCCAACACCAACCGCCCCTGCCCTGGCGGGCACGAAAGGAAGCTGGTGACCAAGTTCCAGAACTCAGAGAGGAAGAAGATCCGGCGCTGAGGCAGAGCTAGAAGTAAGGAGCCAGGGCCAGAGAGCCAACAGAGGCACCTGTGCCTCCTCAGGACAAGCCTGTGGTCATTCGGGTGGGTGTCGAAGAGGGATCAAAGAATTCTTATCTTGGAATAAAATGAAAGGTGAGCTTCCCAGCGACCAGAGCAAAGAGGAAACAGAACCTTTCTAAGGGTGTGTGTGTGTTTGGTTTACAGAGAAACTGGGGCCACAGGGGATTGGATTCTTCTCTGGAGTTGTAGAACAAAATGAGTAGGAGAGGCAGAATTGGAACCCGGGGCTCTTGCCGTTTCACCACTTGCTTACCCTACCCCCAGCTGAGACCAGACCATGGACACCCCACCCAGCAATGGAGACAGGACTGCAGAGGAACTGGGACCCAGGGCCAGGATCCAGACCTGCTTGCCCCTCTCCCCAGGACTCTCTCCCACCCCACCCCCGTGAGGCTCCAGGGAGGCCAAGAAAGCACCTCCAGGCCCAGCGAAAGGGCAGCTAGGAGCAAGAGGCACAGACTGGATAGGTAGTCAGGAAGATTCTCCCAAAAAGAAAGCCAAAGAAACTGGAGCCCCCGAGCCCATCCCCCCAGGGTGACAGTGAAAATAAACAAGTGCAGAAGCTGCAGTTTCAGGTGTGTTTTATTCTGGCTCTTGTGTGGTTTTGTGGGGGCAACATTTCTGCTTGCGTCTGTCCGCATTTGCTCAAACCAACCAGGGAGCGCATGGCATGTGTCTGTATTTGGTGCATGTGTGATTTTTAAGGTCAGGCCCAGCGAAAGGGCAGCTAGGAGCAAGAGGCACAGACTGGATAGGTAGTCAGGAAGATTCCTCCCAAAAAGAAAGCCAGAGAAACTGGAGCCCCCGCGCCCATCCCCCCAGGGTGACAGTGAAAATAAACAAGTGCAGAAGCTGCAGTTTCAGGTGTATTTTATTCTGCCTCTTGTGTGGTTTTGTGGGGGCAACATTTCTGCTTGCGTCTGTCCGAATTTGCTCAAACCAACCAGGGAGCGCATGGTATGTGTCTGTATTTGGTGCATGTGTCATTTTTAAGACCATAATCCAAAAATAGAACACACCACATCTGCTCAGAATACAGTCACGGCCACACCCACCTACACAGGATGCTGCAAAATGTGGGATTTAGCAGCTTGGCCATGTGGTAGCCCCAACATGGATGGAGGCAGGTTTTTGTTTTGTTTTGTTTTTTGGTTTTGTGTGTGTGTGTGTGTATGTGTGTGTTTTTTTTGTTTTTGTTTTTGTTTTTTTTGAGACAGGGTCTCAGTATGTAGTTGAGACTGACCTGGAATTCATTATGTAGCCTAGGCTGGTCTCGAACTCACAGTGATCCTCCTGCCTCAGCCTCCCAAGTGCTGGGATTACAGGCGTGCGCCACCATGCTCAGCTATGGCAGGGTTTTGTGTGTGTGTGTGTGTGTGTGTGTGCAGGGGATCAAACTCAGACCTTGTGCTTGTGAAGCAGGCATGGAGCCACTGAGCTAAATCCCCAGTGAGGCAGGGTTTTATTATTAAAGAAGTAGGGCCAGGGATATAGCTCAGTGGCACCACACCTGCCTGGCAAGGTGGTCCTGAGTTTGATCCCTGGTACAACAACAACAACAACAAAAAACCAACTATTATTAAAGAAAGCAGGCGAGAAAGAAACCAGCTGAAGCACCTAATCAAAACTGTGCTTGTGGCCAGGTGTGGTGGGGCACACTTGTAATCCCAGCTACTCAGGAGACTAAGATAAAAGTATTACAAGTTTGGTCCATCCTGAGCAACTTGGTGATACCCTGCCCCAAAATAAATTATAAAAAGGGCTGTGGATATAGCTCAGTGTGAAGACCTTGGATACAATCTTAAGTATTGGGCCAGGGATTTAGCTCAGTGGTTCCACTGCATGCCTTGCAAGCGCAAAGACCCGAGTTCAACCCCCAGTACCAAAAAAACAAAAAGCACAAAAACAATCTTCAGTATTACAGATAGATTAAATAGATAGATAATAAAAAGAAAGAAAATGAAACCTCGCTAACACACACACCCATCAGAAGTTGAGCAGAAACCCCTACTTCTGGCCAGGACAGAGCTTTCTCCTCTTCCCTTACCCCTTCCATGGAAGCTCTGGGCTGCAGAACTCAGAGCCCACTGTTCTCAGAGGTCCAAACGTGAACAGAGCTGGTAGTGTCTGCTGGAGCTGTAACATTGCAGCAGGGTGTGACAGTCACAGAGTCCACAGTTGAGAGCCCAGCGTGATGGCTCTGGGAGGCTGAAGTAGGAACATCTCAAGCTCAAGGCCGGTGGGAATTACACAGTGAGACCCTGTCTCAGAAGAATTGGGGGGGTGTCTCCAGCTGTGCAGGATGTACCAGCTGTACCACTCCGCCCTGATCCACTGCTTGCTGGAACACAGCCAGGAATGGGAGCCATCTTCCTTGCAGGGAGGGGTGGCTGCTTCTCACGGGCTGAAATCTGGTCGTCTAAACCACCTGCCCCCGCGAACCTGTGGCTTTCTGGGCCTTTCTGCTAAAATGCTTTAATCCCACCCATCCTGCCAGGGGCCCAGAGTTCCTCGTCTCAGTACGTGGCTCCTGCAGACTTTCCCTCGAGCTCCATGGAAACGAGCCCTCCACGCAGCCTACTGTATTAGCCCCACGAACTGCAAGGAAGGACTGGACCCAGGTCCAAGCACCTCCAGCTCTAGAACCAGGGCAAATGGCTGCAGCACACCGTGCAGTTGCTCTTGCTGGCACAGATTTGTGGTGTTAACTTCAGAAAATCACAGCAACGACTCCTGTGTTTCGGGCTCCTGTTCTGTGACAGGTTTTTGTTTATTCATTTGTTTCTTTTTGTGGTACAGGAGATTGAACCCAGGTCCTTGCACATGCTAAGCAGGTGGTCTGCCCCTGAGCTACACCTCCAGCCCTGTCACAAGCGTTTTATAGATTTTATTCATATCATTATTGGTCCTATTTTTCAGACCAGAAAACTGGGATTCAGCGAAGTTAAGTAATTTGCCCAAAAGCACTCAGCCACAACTCAGAAGAAATGAAAATATGAACTCAGGACTGTCTAATTTTCAAAGCCTAGGCGTCTCCCTTTTTATTGTGTACCCGAGAAGAGCTGCGGGGTATGCATGGTGAGAGGCCCTGACTAGCTCATTTCTGGTCCCTGGCACCTCTGGGCCGGGTTTCTCACCTGTCAAAGGGTGACGCTGCCCTCTGCTCTGTGCAAGGCGGAGGCGCTGTGTCCCAACTGCAGTGGCTGCTGCCTGTGTGCTGACTCGGCTGTGCACGCCGCAGGCCCCGGTGTGGGAGGCCTTGCCTGCTGCCAGTTCTTGGATTCCAGAAGCTCTGATCAGGAGGGGTCCTGCCCAGAATCTCCCCCTCCGGTCGGTCCGCACCCCTTTCTTTCTCCTCCTTTCTTCTTCTCTCAGTTGCATGTAATACCTATTTCCCTAATTCTGCGGGCCCCTCCTGGGAACTGGAGAAATCACTGCCCTCTGCCTCCCCTCAAGGAAGGGCTTTACCGAAACTTCCCTGTGACATTGCCATTGAGTTCGAGACCAGCCTGGCCTACATAGTGAGTTCTAGGTCAGTCTCAACTACATAGTGAGACCTTGTCTCAAAACAAACAAACAAACAAACAAAAAATTTGTTGTTTTGACTCAAAGGGCTCCCAGCCTCTTGCAGAAACTTCTTACAGGGTTGTTTATTCCAGACGCCTTGGTGCTCTTCTACCTGCCCCTCTCCTGGAGGCCTGCCCTCAGGTACCGATGTATAGGTACAGATTCATACTTCTGTGTGTGTGTGTGTGTGTGGTACCGGGGATGGAACACAGGACCTCACACTTGTGAGGCAAGCGTGGCCCCACTGAGCTAAATCCCCAGCCCCAGATTCATACTTCTAAATGGCCCAAAGTTAATTTTCTTCCTTTTTTCTTTTTTTTTTTTTGAGGGTCTCACTCTGTAGTCCAGGCTGGCCTTGAGCTCACTATGTAGCCCAGGCTGGCTTCTAACTCACATTTATCCTCCTGCCTCAGCCTCCCAAATGCTGGAATTACAGGTGTGTACCACCATGTCCAACCAAAGTTAATTTTCAACTAGCACTCCTTAAAACTAGTAATGGTCACAGCTGCCACCATGGATGATTGACCTCTGGGTTTTCCCAACTTCGCCTTTTACTCAGCACTTTATGACTCCCGCACATGGGTGCTCAAGCTATATTGTGTGTGCTTAGTACTGAAGAGTCACCACCGCACCTTTTTCCTCAATTTTTTAAAAAAAGAAACTCTATAAGCATCCTCCAAAGGCTACAGTCAAGTGTTAAAAATTAGCTGTAAGAAGAAATCTCTAACTGTAACTTCTTTAAAAAGTTCACCTGTGCTTTACCTCCGGCGATTACACACCAGGAGCCCCAAGTGTGCACACCTGGGAAACACCTGCCTCCAGGCTGTGATGTAACAAGAAATGTGCATTAGTTGATTGTCCACATTGATTGCCCACAATGTACATTAGTAGACCGTCCCTGAGTTCAGTGTGTGATTTATCAGCTTGACAGTGGTGTGAAAGTTGCATATAATGTGCTTTACCTCCGGCGATTACACACCAGGAGCCCCAAGTGTGCACACCTGGGAAACACCTGCCTCCAGGCTGTGATGTAACAAGAAATGTGCATTAGTTGATTGTCCACATTGATTGCCCACAATGTACATTAGTAGACCGTCCCTGAGTTCAGTGTGTGATTTATCAGCTTGACAGTGGTGTGAAAGTTGCATATAAGTGTTCAGAAGAATGTGTGTTTCAAATTTTGAATTTTGACCTTAGCTGGGCCTGGTGGCACACACCTGTAATCCCAGCGCTCCAGAGGCTGAGACAGGAGGATTGGCATGAATTTGAGGTCAGCCTAGGCTACATAGCAAGACCCTGTCTCAAAAAATGTTTGTTGTTGCCAGGCGTGGTGGTGCACAGCTGTAATCCCAGCACTCGGGAGGCTGAGGCAGGAGGATCGCTGTGAGTTCGAGACCAGCCTGGCCTACATAGTGAGTTCTAGGTCAGTCTCAACTACATAGTGAGACCCTGTCTCAAAACAAACAAACAAACAAACAAAAAATTTGTTGTCGTTATTGATCTTTTCTCAGGCTAGCAATTCACCATGTGATCCTCTCTTGTGCTACTGGGGGTGAAAATGGGATTCTGCAGTGTTCTTGGTGCTAAGCTGTGGTGGTGCTGCATAGGTTAGGTGTAGCCAATGCTTTTGTTTTTGTTTGTTTGTTTGTTTTTCTGTAGTGGGATCAAACTCAGGATCTTGCGCTTGCAAGGTAGGTGGTGGAACCACTGAGCTAAATCCTGGGCAATGCATTTTTAATTTATACTGCTTTCAGCTTACAGTGACTTCACCAGGACAAATCCATCATAAGTTGAGAAGCCTTGTACTTCTGTCAGACATGAAACACTGCTGGACCCAGTGTGCCAGACTGTACTCACAGCTGCACAAGAGCCCGAGGCAAGAAGACTGCGAGTCTAGGCTGTTGGTAAGATCCTATTTCGGAATAAGAAGGTCTCGGGCTGCAGCTCGGCCCTGCCTGGGTTCAATCCCCAGTAAT